TCAGTACATAGTAGTTTCTGTAGCGACTCTGAAAAAGTGTAGTTTTAGCGTTTTTCCAAATCATTCAAAACTGAGGCCGAATTTGTTTTTGTTCTTAACTGAGTTGTTTCATCACTATATGCACAACATTGTTGCTAAAGTTTCGATTGGATTGATATATTTTAACCTGATGAAAAAAATACAAAGTTTGCTTCAAGACGCGTTCAAGAATTTATGTTTTGGCTGCATGGTCGACAGCGCACGAGAAAATGTGTTAATATATTCAGGCGGATGTAACGTCATTCCGTCAGTTTTCAAGATGTGATTATTTTCAGTACATAGTAGTTTCTGTAGCGACTCTGAAAAAGTGTAGTTTTAGCGTTTTTCCAAATCATTCAAAACTGAAGCCGAATTTGTTTTTGTTCTTAACTGAGTTGTTTCATCACTATATCAGTCTTACAACTGAACACTCTAGAAATGCCTACTGTTCAAAGTTCTGCTGATATTCTAGTGAAAGTACACGGTGCTTCAGTAAATCCCTTTGATAGCTAGCAAATTCCCTCTTGTTTTGGGGAGCTCGTCGGACTCATATTCCTCGACGGCAACCCAGCCAGTCGGGCTTTTATCGGCAAATCAAATTGCTTTGATACGTTTCTCGATTAACACTTTTACTTTCTCCAGAGCTTCATTCGTAGATACCCTTCAAGACGTTTATCTGACGCTTCGTTGACTAGGTCCAGAAGTTCTACGTCAACTTTGTACTGCTATCTGTTGCCTTTATGCATGCAGTTAAACGATCTGGTTGCTTTCGTTTCGGTCTTAATCTTCTTGAGGTCTTTGTGTGCAGACGACTCTTGTCTGTCTAGCTTGCGTTTGAATTCGCCGAACTTTTCGTTTAGCTTTGTGTCCAGGGGAATGGATATTAGGGAGAGTTCCACGTTTGACAGCCCGGACGAGCCTTGGCTGGGACCTGATCATTGTCGTGACTTGGTTACCTCAGCATCATCTCCATCGGACATAGTTTAGACGTTTCTTCACAAACTTTACGTACTCGTGTTTTAATAGGATACCTTCGATGGTTCACACTGACTGATTTCACTTATATATGAGAGAGTACACCACAAAAGAGGTCTTGTCTTAGGAGGGAAAATCCTGTCGTCCAAAAGACGCAATTAATTCAATCGCGCGCTGCGTCAAAAGGGTCTCAATTCTTTAACCCCCTTTAGTGTTGCCCATTCTCATATACTTTCCGCTCCTATTCCCAAGAGTATCCACCTTGTAACAATAACACGTTTGTCACCATCGGCTATCACAGTTGGTGCCTTACGCTTTATAACTGTACCACAGGATTCCCGGTAACGCTGTATTTAAGTTTATAATAAATTTGAATGTCAAGTAATAAGTACAAGTTTTGATAATGAAAATGCGTTTGAATTGCATATTAATTATTTTTTTCGAACTGTTACAGATGGAGTGCCATCTTTGACGATCCGTATCAGATCTATATTGGATATTATCCCAGTATTAATCTAACCATTCAAGAGATATTGACTTTACAAATTTATCCATAAATCAAATGCTCCTTCTGTGAAAAATGAAAATAAACTTATTTTAGCGTTTCTATATCTTGCGACTAAGTGTTCAGATACTTTTAAGTATAAAAGTATATTATATTTTATATTAAAATAAACATAGGTAGGTTATCTTTGGGTAGAACCACCAGAAACGAACAACCAAAACTCTTGCAGGTTAAGTTGTCAAGGTCAAGTAGTGAGCAGTAAATTATTACAGAGGAATAGTTCTTTTGCATAAAACGGTCACATGGCAAAAGAATTTAAACAACCTCGAAAACAAAGAAACATAGCCGTCAAACGTGACTTTTCTTCGTTTTGAACATCCCATGCAGTGGGTATTTTCGGCCATCCAGTATAGTAACTTTAGTACTATGTAACCGTTTCATGCAAATGCCTATCTTTCAACTATTTTCGCTTCATTTGATGCAACGATGGCCTATTGCGAATAGACAATATTTCAGTAGCCAATCATCATTTTTGTCACCTTTGTGACTTAAACGCAGTTGGTAACTAATTTTTCATTACTTAATGTCATGCAATAACAACGAAATGGTTATACTAAGAAAAGCTTTCTTGAAAAGCTTGTATAACATAAATAACTCTTTCAAAACCTTCACAGGCTACCATTACTTATTCATTCATTTTTATCTTATAGTTACTGAGCTTTACACACGAAAATCTTCAGTAAATTCTTGTTCGTAAGCTGAATTGAGCCAATCACAAAAACGAACGATAGTTTTCACTAGTGAAAAATAATCGTTTGGTCAATCAGAAACGAGAGTGACGAAGGCTCCGACTGTCAACAAGCTGTGGCCTGTCGCCTTTGCGACTTGAGAGAAAGCAGATTTGTGTCACTCGAAAATACTGTATAGTCGTTCATGCAAGAACAAGAAAATGTGCAAACACTGTTAAGAAAACGCGACGGCAAGAGATGTTTCCATATAAGCAGGTTTCTTCAAACCAAAGGTGAAACTCCTAGTGAGATACCCGACATTCTACCTACCAAGCTGAATGAACTTCTCAGTGAGCCTCTCGTGTGTGTGCGAACCAAAAAAGGCAAAGAGTACGAACCGTCGTCGCTTAGAGGAATTTTATCAAGTTTCGAAAGACACCTTAAATCAAAGTCCTATTCAAACAGAATTATCATTGATCTTGTCGTTTGAAAAAAACACTGACCTCAAATCAAAAACAGCTAAAGAAATTAAACTTGGGAAGGGAAACAGACCAAACGCTTTCCGGCGAGTCGCTCGTGTACCTCGCTCGTTCGTTTTCTGACACATCTCAACTCGTGCATAAAAAACGTACGCGCGCATTTTCCATTAAGTAATTTCTATATATATTGTCAATGGAAGATGACTTTATTGTAAATATAACTACGAAGTATTGAATTTTCTACAACTGTACAATAATATAGACAACTAGTATATCTTTTTGTTACAGTAAATTTTTATGTTCCTTTGTACCATTTCTGGTATCTATGGAATAAAGAATTCTTATTGTTTGTGACCATGTGCAGTGATTCATGTCCTGTGTGTTTGACAGCTTTCTACCTCATCTTTACATTATGCAGGGGGTGTGTAGCTCGTTTCTGGTGGCGTTATCCAACAATAAACTACGTCTATCAACTAAACTGGACATGCACTTGATTGGAATGTGGAAATCTTCAAATTTAGGAAGACCATTGGGCTCAAAGCTAATTTAAGTAAAGCCAATATCTCTGAATGGTGAGATTATACGGCTTTTGATAGTTAGGGCTTTTTTCATGATGCTGTTTAGCTTACCTGTCTGACAGGCCATGTTCTCCATCCCGCATGTAACACGGCTCTGACGATGCATGAACACATTATTCTAGGGAATCTTTCATTACTCGAAGATATCGGAACCGTATCTCCGCGCGCCCAAGTAGCATTCTCTATAATAAATTGAAATGGGTTGACATAAAAATACATGAGCCTTTTTACACTAAATTTGCTTTAAGTATCATTTGTATAAGAATCTGTTTTGGCAAAGTAAAACAATTCAGGTTATTATGCACGGGTTAACTGGCATTAAACTAACACAAAGGAAGCGAGAAAACGACTGCTTAGGCTTACCAGTCTTTTATCTTAACAAAATACTTTTGTTAAATAAAGTGAAGTAAAAAAACGGTGAAATAGATGTTACACCTACGAACGTAGAACAATAGTTGAAGCGTTATGCATCAAACAATACAATCCTAGTTTAAATGAACAAAATGACACCATATCTTTGTCTTTACTTAACTAATTTACATGTAAAAAAACTCAGATTCCTTCAGTCACGTATACTGATGATGGCTACGGCTAGTAGCCGAAATATTTAAAGAGTAAATATGATCAAAATACTTCTTGCCTAATTCTAATTAGTCGAGAAATTTTGTTAGCCGTGCACGTACTACGTTTCGGCCCACGTCTTACTCGGAGCTCGACATGGCAGCTACACTGTATAACTGTAACAAATGCTGTTGGAAATAGTGTTTTGGTCGCCAAAGTCTCAGAAGGAGCCGACAGGGTCTTTTCTTCTAAATAAATCTTCTTGTACAAATGTTTTTTTTTCTGGGAAAGGGATTTGAGCTACATTCAATTTGTTGATATTGGCACAAGCAAATGTGGCGCCCTTCCTTCTTTAAACATTTTGATTCCTGGAAAACGTTTTCAAAGGACAAAGAAAGGCTTGTATAACGTTATTATTATTATTATATCAACAAGGGTTTATATTTTTTTAGTAAGGTAATTTTTATTTTCCTGGCAAGAAATTCTTAGAAAGTATTCCTTGCTTGGAAAGTTCTTATTTCTCGCTGGCAACCAGTTGTGACGTACAGCTGGCTGGGACATAAGGGAAGATAGATTTTTAACCCAGGGAATATTTTTGGTTCGACAGAAAGCACATAAAGCCCGGACGCAAATATTTAATATTCTTTAAAATACTAGCGCTTTTAAGTGTTAAAACTGAAAAACTTGAAACTTTTAAGTGTTAAAAGTGAAAAACTTGAATGTTGCGTGGCAGTGCAAAAAAAAAGAAAACTATTTACTTGCCGAACCCGTTTGACAGGCCATGTTGTTTGCACATGGAAAACGTAAAGATGCATCATTCAAGGGCAATTGACTTCTTTGTTTAGCCGTAATCCTTCACGGTTCGTTTAACCTAACCAGACAGCTAAAACAAACCACACGTGCTTCCGCGTTAACCCTAGGTTAAGGAATAAAATCTCCTTATCAAAAGTAAGCGTACGTAAGTTTTGAATTGGTTTTGTTAAGCCCTAAAAATCAGTTTTCCGAGTTTTTTTATATTTACATATTTATTTTTTGATAGACGTATCTTTTACGTTTCGTTAACCTACCACACAATTACAACACAACACCTGCCTCGAACCAACCCCTTTGCTACACATATATAATGCAATGAGTAACACGGATAAATAATACTTAGGGCTTCAAAATCCAGAATCAATTAGTGTGGACTTTCATCCAAGATACTGAAGCAATTGAAGGTAAGCAATTAAGAAGTTTGGATATATTTAGAGCACTGTGTACCTCTAGTAACTCTGTATTTGTCAATAAAGTTCTTTTGTGAAATTTAAAGAAAAGTAGAGCATATTGCATTTACCAACTGCTAAGTAAGAGGAGCACTATAAACCGATTAAAACATGAAAAATTGGATAGGCAACTTATCCTTAAAATCTTTCATTGTTAAAATTTTACTTACGCTTGTTGCTTTAGGGTTGTCTCTCGTATTTCTACTGAGCGCTCTTTGAAAAATCATGAAGGTTTTAAGACTCGGCATAGCTCTGGTCTTGTTGGTCATTCTAACTTGCAGTGTGACAGCCAAGAAACACAAGATAAAAAACCAAAAGGTAACAAAATGATACATGTAAAAACGGTTTGATTCTTTTCCTTTTTATTCACTTTTTTCCCTTTTTTTCACTTTCACTAATTTTTAAAAAATTCTGTTTCATTCCAATCGTCAGAAACATGGGGAGAAGAATACAACTCTACCACAGGAAAGCGTTTTAAGTGAGGCCAAAAACAAAAAGGTTCGTAATAAATAATGTAAATTAATGTTTCTTTGACTCTTTTTAGTCTTTGTCGATTTTGCCGGGCTTCCTTATTATTTTTTATTTTTCCCTATTTCGATCTCCTGTCATCACATTTTCCTTGTCAGTGTGTATATTAGTTTTTCTTCTTCTTTTTCCTT